TCAACCGCTTTAAAATTTAGAAATTTTCCTGCTGATCTTCACTTATCTGTTATTAACACCTGACGTTACCCCAAGAAGGCAACTATCTAGCTCTTTACAATGGAACCTCCAATTGTTTATTATCCTCGTCAGGAATATATTGAAACTGTAAGAACTTTTTTCAGTCTATGTGTACGTTCTTAACAACTGGCCTTTACAATACTTTCATAACAAATAGGATACTGGCAACAAAGTGAGCCGTAAGTCTGTAATTTGTGGGAGTCAAAACATTATACTCGGAGGGAAGGTATATCGTGCAATGTGTAAAGCGCTTTTTGGGATACTGGAATATTATTTTAAGTAAATTTTGTATCTACTTCATTCAGACCATTATTCAAACTGACTGCGTAATTCGTGGCGATTTGAGACGTACTGGTGGTGGTCACGCGGTAGTCGTAGCTATTGGAAGATACTGTCTTTTAGCCAACGGGAGTATTATTAGACCACCATATAAAACATATAAAGGGTATGTAACACTTTCATCTATAATTTTTATAAAAAAATATTAAACTTTTTATATTATTTATAATAGAATCTTTAGTTATTATCCTATGAAAATCGGTGATCATGTCACTATTGGCGAAGGAAGTATCGTCGAAGCTGCTACAATAGGCTCGTTCGTTAATATTGGAAAAAATTGCGTTATTGTAAGAATTTATTATTATAATATGAATTATTGTTGAATGATAGTTTTATTGAGGGAATTATTTATAGGGAAGGTTTGCAATTATAAAAGACTGTTGCAGAATTGAGGATAATACAGTAATACCACCCAACACAATTGTACCATCTTTTTCTATTTATGAGGGATCTCCTGGTAATTTCTTTTTTTCCTTTGCTGCAGATAATTTGTGCTCGTCTCATTTATTCCCAATTTCTAGGTGTATTTGTAGACGAACTTCCTGAATGTGTACAGGATCTTTACGAAGCTAAAACAAAAGATTTTTATTCTAAATTCCAATCCAAGGATAGTTGAGTATAGGATTACAACCCAACCTTTTTTTGAATTAGACATTATTACATAGGAATCAGGCTTTCTACTTCATTTGGAATAGTAACCAAACCCCAAATCCATATAACCTTGATATAACGAACACATATGTATAGCGAAATTTAAATTTACCTTGATATTATGAATCTATTAGTAAATTTAGATATAACGAAGTTTTTAAAATTTTGTACTAATAGCTCGACGCCTTCATTATATCAAGGTTATGCTGTATATGACTCATTTTCGGTTAATTGTGCCAAAAACCAATTAAAATTAAATTAATACTATAAATTATTAAAGCTAAAAGTGATTTAGCGACTAAAGCAGAGTATGTTGAATAAAGTGATATGTTAGATCTAATATTTATTTGAACATGCACAGCAGGAAAAAGTATTTACTAGTAATTTTTAGATAATTTACTATGCTTTATAAAAAAATATAATCATATTATAATTGTGTTATCTAGGTCATCAGATCTTAATTCTATAGAAAATCTGGAAAATTATGAAGGATAGGACCCTGCTATGTAGAGAATTGCAATGAAGAATTGCGTAAAATTAATTATACTATCGCTATTTTATCTAACTTGACTTATAGTATGCCAAAATGGTGTTTAATAATGAATGAAGTCATTAGTGATGCCGTAAAATCGTCCCAATGAATTTTTACAGATACAACCGATTACGATTATAGTTAAGACAAAGTCCGTATAGATCACCATTATCCCAATGTACCATATTAATAATAAGTTTTAATTAGTGACGTAACTTTAAATAAAATGGTAACTTCAAATTAATAGCGATAGCGTAACTTTTAATAAACACAACCCTAGTTTCATCCGTAGCGAAAATTATGTGACCACAACAATTTTACAGAAGCTAGGTAAAATGCGTTTCGACAATATCAGACTTGATCGGTGTAAAATTTATAGTACACACACGTAATATCATGATTGACTAGGGAGTCCATTTAATCCTAAAATTAAGGCTCTAACCTATAAAATGTCACCGTTTTTCTAATTTACTGGTAAATATGATGGAATGTTTACTATTTAACAAAATAATTTATTCACTTCTGCCGCCACAGTGAACAAAAGAACGTTTATAATTACAATAAAATTTTTAACTAATATTGCGCAAAAATCAAAAATCGGTTGTTTCCAAAAAATTCGACTTATTCATCAGTGCAATTCAAAAAATTGAGAACATCCCAAACTGGTATAATAAACCGTCAATATTTCAAATAAGGTATACACTCATAAAATGAAAATATGTACTCATAAAATTGAACATATCTCTAACTTTCGATATCGGGTTTCCATAATTGGATTCGCTTTTCTAATTCATCCCATTCAATTGGGGTTAGAACGCATTCCCCATATTTTTTTCTGAGTCCAGGAATAAGTTTTCTCAACTCATTTATCTCGTCTTCGGTGAAAGATTGTGAAGAATGACGTAATTCAGTAAGTAATGTACGAAGAACCTAAAAATATTCAAGTCTGTAAAGAAAATTTTCGGAATTAACTAAACTCTTTACAAAATAAATGAAATTACTAACTTTATCATTTAAATCTTCATCTTGATCTCCATATTCATTTAATATATTAATCATCTTTTTGGCAAGCCCTCTTTCTTTTATTCGCATTGCCACAGTATTTGGATCTTGAACGAGCAGAGTGTTGAAAAGAAAAATTATTTTGCGTAGCAGCTGGGTATCTAAAACGTTGAAATATATTTCAATATAAAAGATGCTGCATATAAAATTTTGTCTGAAAGTTGTATCTCAAACCATTATAAGTATCTAGCAGTCTCAATAATAGGTCGTATCCCTCGTCTTTCTCGAATTGAGCTAACCCCGGAGGATAGTTCTTTATAGCTCCTGAGAACATTAATATAGGAGATTAATATGAGAGATTAATGTAAAGAATGTATGAACAAAAGTATTAAATTCTTGGCTCACCAGACAACGTATATAAAGCTTTACTCTTAACTTCTATATCTTCATTTGTATCTTTTAATATGTTCAAAACGATAGCCAATCCACCTTTTTCAGAGAACTGTATTAAAAATTTCTTTTTTAATAATAGCATTATAAGTGACAAACAATTCAACAAAAAATACATACAGCTTTCTGTGCCTTAAGGTTATTCTGAATAGCAGTTCCACATACCCATAAGGCTTGTGTCCTGAGAGAAACTTCTGGTAATGAAAGAAATGAGATAATTTTTGGCCATAAATTCATATTTTCGATATCTATAATTAAATAGTATCGATTAGATATTTGAATTAAAAATTCTACAGCTAGGGAACCTGACATGCCATTTGCTAAATTCATACCAGGATGCCACTATGGCATACCATAATATAAGTTATGTAATAAAATATTTTTCTATAAATATAATTTTATATCATTTTAATTATAAAGGCATGCCTAATATACTTTTTAAACACTTCGGTCAGGTTCCCTATCTACAGACCTATTTTCAATATGAGTATATGTTCTTTTATTACCATTAGCATTATCTACTTGCTCTACAAGCTATAAATAAATAAGGGACTATATTAGTCTTTCGATGAACTTTATTAGAAAAAGATCTAAAGATACATGCCATTTCTAAGTTATCAAGGGCAATTCTTTTGTCCTCTAAAGTTGTCTCCGGATCTGATACAGCCTCAACGGCCTCTATTCCACAAAAAAAAAATTCATTTAACAGTGTCTAACCTTTGACGGTGAAATTATAATTCGAAATTATAATTTTTAGTTTACCTCGCATTTGAACAGCATCACTTTTGCCTAAAATGAGATCAATAATTTCTGGATCCTTTTATTCAAAGCTAATTAAATTAGTATATAATGACTAACTGTATGTTTTATTAATCTCCCTTTAGTATACCTACGTACTAATTTATTTTTTTCTTGTGTAGTTGGCTGTTGCTGCACATTTGATGGATCAGTGTTTTCAATTGACCATTTTAAAAGTTTTTCCATTTCTCAAAGCGATTGCTTCTATCTATACTACATAACACTTTTTTATCACGCTTTTTTTATTAATCAGTACCACATGATTATTTAAAACCATTTCTGGTAATTATCGATGTATTATTC